AGAGAGAGAGAGAGAGAGAGAGAGAGAGAGAGAGAGAGAGAGAGAGAAAGAGAACAAGAGAATGAGAATGACTGCACTCATCAGCAGGATAATGTCTGGAAATCAGTGAGTGTCATGGAAAATAACTCAAATATCCCCGATGATTTCTTTATCATCCCTTTAACTTAATTTTAAGTGCATCCCCCTTTTTATTTGTTTTGCATTTACAAGGTTTAGGGAAAAAAATCGATGCCTGTATGAAACATACTCCAGAGAAACAGAAAACATTAATAAATCATGATCACAACGCGGCTAAACTGAGAAAAAAACCTCTGCTCGCAAGATTAGTTTTTATGTATAGGACGGAAAGAGAGAGGCTCAATGTTGAAGAGAGAGAGAGAGACTGAGAGAGAGAGAGAGAGAGAAAGAGAGAAAGAGAGAGAGAGGGAGATAGAGAGGGGGGAGCGTTTTGGTTTAGCTCCGAATTGAAAAGTGGTGAGAGAATGTTAAAGTGTTGAGAGAATGTTAATGATATGCAGAGAAAATAAGGCCAGGCCAGATGAAAGTCCAGCTAAAATCTTTATAAACTCAAAGACTCTTGGAGAGGGAGGGAGGGAGGGAGGGAGGGGTGAGGATGGGGAAGTGGAGGGGGTGGGTTTGGGTAAAATTGGTCCTCATGGAGCAGAAACAAAAAGAAAAGTTAAGATTAAGAGCAGAATGTATCAAATATATTAAAAATTGACTGAAAAACAGAAGATATGTTGTATTTGTGTGCATGCAAATGCAGCTGATGCAGATTTTGAATTATATTGTTCTATATCTGATTATGTTTTTTTAGATTTATAGATTTAGAATTTTTCCATTTACATCATAATAATTAATATACGATAAAAAATCACATAAAAAGCATTAACACATACACACACACACACACACTCTTGTGTTAATTATGGACACAAAAGAAGTCTCTAATTTTAAATACATCAGGAGTGGAAGATGTGTTCAGATAATTAACTTAAGTAAAAGTAGCAACACCATACTTTAAAAATCCTAAAAGTATTAAAATAGATGTATTAGCAAACATGTGCTTAAATTATCAAAAGTACAAGTACTCATCATGCAGATGGCGGCTGTTTAGTATGTAAAATATAAATGTGAAAACTAACCAGTAACCATAGCTAAAATAAATGTATTGGAGTGGAAAGTAAATGTCTGTCATGAATGTACAGTACTTTAGTAAATGTACATTGGTTACTTTAATGCATGACATGAATCTATCGCTTTGCACACACACACAGTAGTACATTTATATACACACACAAAAGTAAACATTAGGCAGCGGAAAAAAGTATCCGTGTTCCTCGTGCTTCTTTATTGAAGGTGGAGCTCAGATTGTGATAAGTGATCTTTATTGTCCCTCTCTGCTGATTGAGCGCCAGCTAAAGTTTCCCTCCTCTCAGTCAGACAAGTACCAACACATACTGTAACTCCCACACAGAGTTTTTTTTACTGTCTTTGTGAGTCTGACTGGTTCAACGTTTGATATAAGTCAGCATAAACACACATACACACACACACACACACACACACACACACACACACACACACACACATGTGGCTCTTTTAAAACATTAATTCCCATCTCACTCCTGCTTTGCCTTGGGGTCCCATATCAACAACTCTCCTGGTTCCTGCTCCATTGCTGTGTTTTACTGCAAACCCTTCAATCTGAGTCATTATAGCCCAGGGGCAGTAATGGTATACAGTTACACCAGCAATACTCTGTAATAAAGTTTCCTTTAAAGGTAAATACCAAGGCAGAGGGGTTGTGGGTCCACATTTAACGGGCCAGGCCAGATGCCGAGAGCCAGAACAGATAATTCAAGTTTACAAGTTTACATTATCAAGTAATCCGTTTGAAAACAGCAGAGCAACATTGTCTTACATACAAATGGTTAACAAGGTGAAAGCACAGTATCACGTGTCATATTCCCCAAATCTCAGTTCTGCTGCAACAAAGAAACTCCCTTCGCCCCCAAAAGGCTCCTCGTTGAATTTCATTCTCCAGTGTTGTTGAAGTCACAGCTCCCGCCCACAGGACGATCTGATTGGACGGCGCGCCTGCTGGAATATTCAATCAGACACCTTGCCCGGGGACGTGATTGGACACAGCCGGTGCAGTTATGCAAATGAGCACCTGGTGGCGCCTGCTGGCCTCAGCTGCGGAGCCCGGACCGAGGCTGGAGCTGACGGGGATCAGATTCAGAGAGAGGCCGAGGCGAAGGGACCCTGGAGGCTGACTCGCTGAAGAAAAAAAACTAAAAAACATTCTCCCTCATTGTCGAAGAGTTTTAAAACAATATACCCTAAACGAGTGTCCAGTGACGGTCAGGCTGCGGGTTTAACATCAGCCGGTGCGCGCAGCAGTTTTCGGTTAATTTCTTGTTTTCCGAGTTTTGCCAGAGGTCGTTCACTGCGCGCAACAACTGCCCCGGAGCTGCGTTTGGATTATTCAGCGGGTTTGCGTGTTGTTCCCTAAAACACAGCTTCACTTCGTCAAACACAGACTTCGTCTCAAAGTTTGGACCGCTGTCAACGCGCACCTCTCCGTGTTCTTTTAGGTAAGTACTGACAAAACTCCTTCAAACCCTTCGCGCATTTCTTCTCCGCGCACTTTACTCCATTAAGGCTATAATAATGTTGCAGGGGGATATTTCCAGCTGTCTGTCTGTCTGTGTGTATGTCTCTGTCTGTCTGTGTGTATGTCTCTGTCTGTCTGTGTGTATGTCTGTGGCGTGGCGTCTACAAGTCTCGGCGTGAGGCGGGCACGCCAGCTCTGGACGCCGGCCACGGACTGCTGGGAAAGCGCATATGCGGTGTAACGTTGCGCACATTTGTGCGGCAGATACATTGTGGCATTTGCCTACTGCGTGGCTGAAATAATCCGCCAGTGTGTACCATGATCTACACTTTAAACTGTGCAACATCTTGCTGTACGTGGGTCCTTGGCAGCAGAGAGAACCTTTTATTCAGAGTCCTGACTTGTGCTTTTGAGACTTTTGTTTTCACACATTTATCTTCAAAATAGACTTTTTATTTATTTTCAGGTTTATTTCCAGTCTGATGGCCACAGACTTGGTTCAGGTGTCACCAGTCATGCTGTTCTTTGCAGACTGTTGAACTCATTCTTCACTGGCTTCACATTGCACCTTATTCAAACACACGAAAACCACTCACAAGTATTTCTTCTTGGCATGCAAAGCTTTTAAAACTGCAGCTGCAGCCTCGATGAATGGGGTCAGTTGAAGTGGTTAATGCTCAGACCTCCAGGCATCCAGGTGGTGGTCATCATCACACCCACCATTAACCCCCGTGACCCCACAGCACCACAGGTGACCTCCAATAAGGCCGGCCCGCTCTGGTTTCATTCAGCTCTGGTCTGTAAGTGTGGTGGTTCTTCCTTCGGGGAGCTAATCCGTCATCAGAAGCAAACCTGGAATTATGGCCGGGCGGCCTGATGCCGGAGAGCAGAAGCGTGTGTTAATACAGAAAACATTTTCAAACTCTGGAGAGGAGCTGCCAGAGGGTTAGGACTTTGAACTGAACATGCATTTTGTGTTGTTCGTGTTTTTTTTTTTTTGGTTATGAGCCAGAAGAAACGGGCGGTGAGAGTGAATTAGACATGTGGCTCAATAAATGATTCTCATCTTCTCTGTGAACGAGATGGTGCAGGGATCGAGAAAAAGACAGAAACTGCATATTTTCAGCTTCCTGCCTCACTCTGTTTGAAGGAGAGAGAGAGGTGAGATTGTGGGCGAGATTGATTGTGTTGCTGTTGCCAGCTTGTTCCTGTGTGTTCGTGCATGCCTTAGTGCCATTAACAATGGGCTTTAGTGGGTGTGCAGTGCAGCGGGCAGTCACCTCTCCCACCACATGAACACTGTAGATGTGGGTAGCTCGTTGGCCGGGGGACTGAGCAGGCAGTCCAGAGGAGGTGTAGCATTGTTGGAGTGCTGGGAGGAGGACGTGGAGGTGCCTGTGCTATTTGCCAATAGACAGAGAGGCAATAAAAGGCAATTTTGTCTCTCCCCACCCCTCCCTCTCTTCCTCTGTAGCAGGGGCATAAAGTGAGGAGGAGCCCTCAGTGTGGACACACAGTCCCTCACAGCAAACTGCCGGATCCCTATCTAATGGGCATCTAAAGTCTCCCACAGCATCCCACGAGAGCCGTTGGCCCTGCATAGCTGCTTTTTATCAGCTGTGCAGTCCAGCAGAGGAGACGCAGAATATATCTAATAACTGGATAGACCAGTTATGTGAGTATAATTGCACACGCCCACACTTGGGGGGGGGGGGGGGGGATGATTAATGATTAATTGCATAATATGATTTGTGGAGAGGTATGTACAGCGCAAAGTAATTTGTCTGACAGTGTCTGGGAAATGGCTGTTTATTTGTTTTGTTCGGTCCTTACACTCGGCAACAAAAGTCTTGGAAAGATGTTTTTTTTTTATGTACAAGATGAGAAATAATTAACGAGTTTTCTTTGCAGTTTTGCATTATTGCTGTTTGTTTGCTTGTTACAAAAAACAACACAACAGATGCACAGATACACACCAGACACACACACACACACACAGAACACAGACATAAGAAGCATTTGGTCTCCACAATGAGAAGCGAACACTGGTTTGTGTAGTCTGGTCGATCATTGACCTCAGTCTGTTGTCCTCCTATCTGCGTCATTGTTTCGACGGCGGCCATGCTTTGTGACTTTGTCTCGGTGTTTTCTGCTTGTTGACCTTTCTCAAAAGACTTGAGCAGGTGGATAGGAACCCTAAACCCAAAGACGGATCCTGCACAATAACTGAAGTGCGTGTTTGGCACAGTTGTCTGATCTTTATGGCGATGCGGCCGATGTGGCTAGTTATCCAAATAAAAGAGCACAGTGATGATGATGATGATGGCGCTCTCATCCCTAAGAACGGCCTTTTATGTGACTTCTCTCACGATGATCATGTATTGGGCAGCAACTCGGCTAAAGTCTGTGCTTGTTCGTAATTGGCTCCCGACAGACTGATCGAGGACTCAACTGTCCACCCGGTTTTCCCTAAACCAATTTCCCCTCAAGTCTAGACAGCTGTACTTTTCAATTGCATTTGTCGTATGTGTGGTCACATGCAGAGCGAGCTCGTCGAGAAACAAACTCGCGCAGTAATGGGCGGTGACACTTCAAAGCGAGACCCGGGCTGTTCTTGGTTCTTAATTTCCTCCCAGTGAATCTCCATCACTGAAGTCCTACCTTCTTTCAGATCCGGCCTCCATCCCTCCCTGACATCCAGCACACTTTTTGATCCCCTAATTGATCGATTTCTCTCTCTCTCTCTCTCTCTCTCTCTCTCTCTCTCTCTCTCTCTCTCTCTCTCTTTCTCTCTCTCTCTCTCTCTCTCTCTCTCTCTCTCTCTCTCTCTCTCTCTCTCTCTCTCTCCATGGAGCACATATTCTCCCTCTTCATATCTCCTCCTTCCCTTTGAAGCAGCACTAGATGTTTCATTTATCTTCCTCCCCCTGCTCATCCATCTCTCCCTCAGCCTCCTATCGTCCCGGTGGGTCTCCTCATTTATCTGTTTGCGCTTCCTGTCGAGGGTGCCCTGCGTAGATAACAATGTTGCTGCTTGGAAGTAAGCAAACGTGGGGTTATATTTTGGCTGCTGAAGTCTTCAAAGAGTCTGTCGCACTATCTTATCGAGGAATCTCAGGACGTCGGCTTGATGCCTCATATTAGCTCAGGAACCTGCAGAAATGCCTCTGCATATAAGCCCCAAGTGGCGGTGCTAATATAATATGTGTGTATGATATAATTCATTAAGATGAAAAGTACAGAAATGTAGAAGTTGCCAAGTAACACCTCTCTTATGTGCCATTTCTCAACTGTATTACATGTTTTTTATGACTCATAAATAATAAAGTCCTCTCACTGAAGGAGTTATCATTGCACTCCTGTAGCAATGTCTGACTTTGATGGACATTTTTAAATAAAAGGATCAAAGTTGAACCATTAGATATCGTGTTTTTTTTTTTTATTGATGCGAGTGTGTTTACCGTTATGTTGATAGCAGCTAACGTAGCCTCGAGCGTTGATGAGGAGCGAGCTACTGAAGTCTGATAATTCTCCCTCTGAAGGCTCAGACGGCTTCAAAAAAACTTTTTCCACATATGCAGCACCTGTACCTGTAAACACACTTTGATTTTGGAAAATTGATGAAATCCCCGTTTAAATCCTATGATGTTGAGTTAATGATCTCATCGGTTAAGGGTGCTAATGCTGAACCCTGTGAGCTGAAACCAACCGTGAATCCCGTGGAGTTCTTTCACACGTCTCCTCAACAACTGGCAGGTGAAGTTATCGCTTCTGGAAAAACCAGACGAACCTTATGAAAGATGGAAACTCTGTCAAACTTAAAAGCCGGTGTGCCTGCTCTGTTCTCTCCCTCAGACTCTTTCTTTCTTATCATTTTTTATTTTTTTTTCCTTCTCTTCTCCATTCGAATCCTCACACTCTGGTGCTGTTTTCGTCTTGAAGTGCGAGCACACCGTGGCTCAAAATATAACGAATAATTACTAACGGCTCCTGGCCAAGTAGGTGCTTTTGAAACCTTGTTGGAACATGGACGAAAAAATTGTGTTCAACATCAAAGGTGAATTTCTCTTTACATGTGCCTTCTCTTCATATGATGCATTTGAAATTTGTAATGAAATCCCGGCTGAGTGGGACCTATCGGTCTCTCCCTCTCAGGGGTTTGGAAAGGCATATTAGCATCAGGAAGCTGCTGTGTGATGTGCAATGTAGCTCTTTTTAGGAGGCTTTCTGCTGAGAGGGAGGAGGAGGAGGACCGCAAGTGTGATGGAGGTATCTGCCTGTGCCCGAGGCTTTCAACAGTGTGTGTGTGTGTGTGTCTGTGTGTGTGGATAGAGTTTCAGCAAAGCCCAGACTTTTATATGAATCAGGTATATCTTTGTTTCCCCACTGCAGTAGACACTAAACAGCTCAAAGACGTCTTTAAATTGTTTCTCTCTGCTCAGCGGTGATTCATTACAACGGAGGAGAAGAAGATGTGTGAGAGGGCTGGGTTGGGCATGGCTGTTTTTCTCACTTTGATTCTAAATGCTGAGTCTCAATGAAGTCATTCCTGTTTTGACCTGGTGTCTCTGGTTTCTCTTTCTGCTCTGTTCCACTCCAGACCGTCCCTGCTTCTCACCCTCCCTCCCTTTCAATAGCTGCTCGCTGGGTTGATAATTCTCACCCTCCTGCGGGCAAAGAGTCTCCTTTTGTCCCACGCTCGCTCTGTCATTCTGAGTCTTTTCGCTCGGGTTCTGGAGGGGATTTTTCACCACCACGGCATTCTTCTGTCATCCTGTATCTGGTTCAGAGGCCGTTTTCTCTCTGGCCATTGTGAGAGTCGCACTGTGCTGTCACATGCCTCCCCCTTCTCTCCTTTCACCCCATCCTCCCCTCTGCTTCTCACTTGTTCTCTGACAGGTGGCAGTGAGACTTTGCAAATTGAATTCAGGCAATTGGGCTGCGGCTTGCCGTCACACTGCAGCCCTCAGACGGCCTCGGTGTCAAACTAGAAGCGTACACTTACTCTCTGCTGTCATATTAACATGCTAATGCTGCCACGTATCTGCTAGATTCTCATTAGAATTGTTACACGCACGCTTCAGCTCGGGTCAAACTCTGAGCTAATTTTCCCCTCGGTAGTTTTCATGCAGCAGCGTGAAACTCTAACTTCTAAATTTTTAGTGTAGCAGGTGAGAAAGGTCTTTCATGAACTCACTTTCACTAGAAAGTGAAATGCCACTCCTTTCATTCCAGATGCATTATAGAGAGACAAAAAGAGCTCAGAAGAGTTAAACTACATGCACTGACTTGTATGAAGCTGCCAGCGCTGGGAACCAAAACCTTTTTTCCAGTTGCTGTCACTCAAAAACCAGTTTCCCAAAAGAACTTGTAATACACTCTCTCTTTCTGTGCACAGAGAGGACTCCGCTCTTTGATTCAGATAATGCAGCTAACGAACCGCCCACTTAGATCCCACTGATTGCCAGAGGTGCTCACAATGCCTTCGCTTGCTGTTGGTTTTATTTTTTTTGGTCTTGTGCTGGCTGTTCTTTGTCACGTTTCAGCCGTCACCTGTCATCTTTTGTTTCGTTGTAGTTCACTCTTTGCACTCTTGTGCCTTTACACCTTGTGCCTTGTGTGTTGTTACTGTTTATGTATACGATCAAGCTGATTTCCCTTTGATTGCTTCTGCAGATGCCAAGTTATTGGAGCACAATGATGCAATCCAGATGCAATATTTGTGTTTGGACTGCAGGCGTGTAGCTGTAGGCAGATTTTGGATCTACCTGGGTGCGTCTTTTTGATTTGTAGACAAACCTGCAAAGGGCACTTTTTTTTTTCTTTCTTTTTTTTTTCTCTCAAGTTCTTAATTGGCACGTAGGTTGGACAAATTTGCCGCCAAAAATTAACATTACCAGAACAAATATGCAGCATTGCTCTGAGAGCTCTGGAACATTGTGTGCAGGATGCAGAAGAGGTTCTGGATAGTCTGTACACTGCAGGAAACCATTTAGACACTTTGTTTAGGCAAGACCCAGATAATGTGTGCAATTATGGTTTTGAATAATTCTAAACATTAAGCCTGTTTTTAAAACTACTACGCAGGAAAGACCAGGAACTAACTCATGACGGGAACTGGATTGTTGTGGCCATATTTGAGATTTTAAACAGTCTGATAGATATATTGGCTGATTCATTTTTTTATATCATGTAAACCTCTTTGATAAGGATCCCTTGAATATGTTTATTAAAGATTTGTGTCCACTATATGTACTGCCCAGAACATTTTTCAGTTGAAAAGTAAACTACTTCTTACTTGTTAGTACTTGTATATCATCAATAAGGTAATGTCAGCTGATATATTGCTCTAGCTCTGAACAGTATCTCCAACAAACATGTACAATATGACCGATACCGCCTCCTACAGCCACAGACTACCCACCTCCATCGGGCTCTTAAGTAATCACCTTTTTGAACTGTCTTGGATAAATGTGAATATTCTGTGTATTATATACATTTTACATGTGTTATAAACTTGTCTATGTGTGTAGGCCACTTACACAAATCAAGTTCCGATCATGTTTCTAGAAAAGTGTGTTTCTGGCTACAAGTTGGGTGAATTGCTTTGTCTCTCCAGCTACACCAAAGGTTTGCGTGGCCGCTGTTGATGGAGGCATTCTTCATTTGCCAGACCAGCCGAGGGTAATCTGTCATCATTTGTCTCTGTCCATGCAGATATGCTGAGCAATGCTGCAACTGAGCGGCCAAGTGGACCTGCGTCCAAGTTTAAAGCAGGCAGCGAACAAGGGAGGAGATGGAAGTCTCGTGTTAGTTGTGATCGATTTCAGCTTTGTGTAGCCGTATGCCAGTTCTTTTTACCCGTTTTTCGCGCTACCCTCGAGCCTCGGCTCATGTCAACTAAAACCGTGTTAGCTTGTTAATTAGATTTGTCATGACCTGTGTTGCTGCACAGCACTACTGTGCTTTGTCTGTGTGTTTTGAACCGGGCATTTTTGGGGTGAAAGCTGAGCTGTCTTAATGAGTCATATGATGTTCAGCACAACCTAACAATTAACAGGTTTTTGTTTGTTTTACAAATCCCCCTTTCCATGCTTCCTTTGCTGTTTCATCGTGATTCACCACCTCCTTCAGTCACATGACGCACTTTCTCCTTCTCCTGTTACTGCTGTTTAATTTGTTTTTCTGACTCGGCCTTCTCCTTCAGCTCTCATGGCTCTGTTTAAGTGACTCATCCATTCTTCCCTCCTGCTTCCTCAACCTCTGGTACAACTCAGGAAGATCAGATTCCACGGCCGTGACCGGCACTTCCTTGTATAGATGAATGTTGTGACACACAGCAGTACGATTTGATGACTTATACGTGATCAATGCTATGACTAATAGCAGGGCATATCAGACTTACCCCGCAGCTTCCTGATGTATCATGGATCATTTGTTGATGTCGGTGTAGGTAATTATTAGAAGTGCACCGCCTTCATTTTCAGTTTTAAGAGCTAATGTCTCCAGACTCCCTAGATTCCATCCTCGCTGACTAAGGGGCAGTAGCTTTGTTGAGTGGAATTTTAATTTTCAACCAAAGCAAGCTAAAGAAAATTCATTCAAGATGAAAAAAGGAACCCCGTGGACAGACTGGTGCAGCCAAAAAGTTATGCCTGCCCTTCCCACTGAGCACTAGAAATAATTTCAACATTGCATGATTAATTTATTTATT